TTCCTGGCTAAATCCTCCAGCTTGGTAACTTCCTCTACGGCTACCTTCAACCTGTTATCCAACCCATCTAACTGAGTTGTTGGATTTTTTAATTATCATTTCCAAGATCTCTAATTGGTACTTTTTCATAATAGTCTGTAATTATTGTATGGATTGATATCTTCTCTCATCTTGTAAAGAAATACTGTTTGCTTTATATAAACTGTTTCCTCTGGCATTACCTAAAAAGAACGAAGTAGTTAAAAATGTACTAAAAGAAGATACCCAAGTTAAAAAAGAAAAAAAAAGTTGCAGAAAAATACATTTACATTAAGAAGGAGTGGAGAAGGTAAGGTCAAAACTGAACATATGTATGTAAATGCATAGACAAGTAAATATCTAGAAAAATTACTAAAAAGAAGAGAGCAGTTGGGAGGGAGCAAAAAGACCTTCACTTTTTACTCTATATACTTCTAGATGTTTGTACTTTTATAAAGAAACCTGATCTTTATGTCATTTGTGTACACTTTTAAATTAGATAAGTAAATGGGAAGAAATTCTTCTAAGATGACAAAATGCCAGTAGTAAGACAAAAGTTAAAGAATTATAAGTTGTTTCTTTTGTTTTCAAATTTTCTTTAATGTAAGTATACTACTTTTATAAGTAAAAAATATATTTAATAATTTTATAATTTATCAGTTATGACTTGAAAAGAGGGAAAAACTACTTAACCACTTTGAAATCAAACCTACCTGCTTTCTCCAAAACAGGAGAAAGAAAGATTTCTGCTTTTGGCAATGGCGCCTAGTTATTGAAATCAATTCTGTAGCCACGAGAAAAAGCTAGACAAAATGTTAAAAGCGCTTGTTTGAAGACACTGGAGAAGCAGAAAGGCAGTAAAGGCTTGAAGAGCCAAGAACTCAGAAGGAAAGGAATCCAGAGAGGGGAGCTACACATCTGGTACTGGTCTTCCTCTACGGGCACTGTTTCCAAAATGGTAGGTAAGAGGCTAAAAGGCTGAACACGCTTTCAGCAATATCACAGGAATAGAGAAACAAAAACTGGAGTTTCAAAGCCACTAAGGAGGAAGCATCCTATTTAGGCTTTCGGTTAGGATCCCCAAACGGCTACACTCTGGGAATTAAGCTGAACCAAAAAGAGACCAGTTCCCCAAAATTGAAGACTAGTTTCTGAAAATTCCATCCTTGACTGAGCTAAGATGTCCTACTCTTAACCCTGTGTAGAAACAAAAAAATGTTCTCTGAAGGAAGAAAACATGATGCAAAAGTCTCAATTTTTTCCCACAATTTTTCATACATAATGACTAAGAAGCAGAAATATGCAGGCATGACAAAAAATAAACAATCGAAATCAAAAGAATAAAAACTAAAGATCCAGAAGAGATCCACATCAATTAGGTATCTGACACAGGTTTTAAAATAACTGGGATTGGGGCGCCTGGGTGGCTCAGTGGGTTAAAGCCTCTGCCTTTGGCTCAGGTCATGATCCCAGGGTCCTGGGATCGAGCCCCGCATCAGGCTCTCTGCTCAGCAGGGAGCCTGCTTCCTCCTCTCTCTCTGCTTGCCTCTCTGCCTACCTGTGATCTCTGTCTGTCAAATAAATAAATAAAATCTTAAAAAAAAAAAAACTGGGATTAATAAATTAAAAAACCTAAATGACCAGATGAAGAATTCCAACAAAGAACTGAAACTATTTTAAAACTCAAATGAAAATTCCAAAAGTGAAATAACTGAAATTACGTACTTAATGGATAAATTGAACATCAACTCAGACAAAGCTAAACTGGGATTAGTAAACTGGAAGAAAGAGGTCAGAAGAAAATATCCAAATTGAAAAATGGGGGGAAAAAATGAGTAGAAAATATAGAAAGAACATAAGAGACATTCGGGGAGGAGGGGTGGGAAACACATCTTCTGGGTGAGTCCCAGAAGAGAAAAAGAATGGATGTGAACCAATATTCGAAGAGATAATGGCTGAGAATTGTCTAAAACAACAAATCCAACCATAGATTCAAGAATCACTATAAATAGAAAGCAGAATAAACACAAAAAAACTCTGGGTAGACATATCATAATAAAATTGCTGAGAACCAAAAACAAAAAGAAATTAGCTTCAGAGAAGCAACTTCTTAATAGAAATGGATTATGGAATGATATCTTCAAAGTGCCAAGCCAAAATTCTATGCCCAAAACAAACATTCTTCAAATGATGTCAAGAAATAGACATTTTTACACAGATACTGAGAAAATGTGTTGCAGCAGACTCACAAGAAAGAAAATACTAAAGGGAACTCTTCGTTTAGAAGAAAAACTATCCCATTGGAACCACAAAAATAGATGAAAGATGAGCACCAGAAAGGATAAATTTGTGGGTTTATTTAATGAATATTTGCTGTATAAAATGATGATGATAATGATGATGATGTCACCTTATGGGGTTTAAAACACTTGTAGAATTAAGATACACAATAATAAAAAGGCAGGAAGAGGTAAATGCAACCAAAGGTTCTAGAATTCTTGCATTGTTTAAAAAGTGGCAAAAGTACTAAAATATACCAGACTTTAACAAGTCAAAGATACATACTGAAATCTTGACTAACCAGTAAAAGAACAGTAAAAGAATGTATAACTAACAAGCAATGGCTTGGGGTGATATAAAAACAATTAAGCATAAAGAAGGTAAGAAAGAAGATAAAAAGGAGCATACCATGGCAGGGGAGTTAAAACTGTAAGTTTTAAATCTAACTATATCAGTAAAATAAATGCGCAAGGACCAAATACTCCAATAAAGCAAAAATTATTCATTGGATAAACAAAACCCAACAATGCAATGCAGACATACCTTAAATAAAAGATAAATAAAGTCTGAAAGCAAAAGGATAGAAAAAAGATAATACATATTAACATTATCCAAAAGGATGCTTGGGCAGTCAATCATACTAACATTAGATATTTTTAATGCTAAAAGTGAAGACACAGTTAAGATTTAATAATCCTTTACACACATTTGTATAAACTAAATAGTATCACCTCAAAATAATAAAGCAAAACTTGACAGAACTAGAAGGAAAAAGAGATAAATCCACAATCATAGTGGGGTATTTGTGGGGGAAGAGGGCAGGAGGAGCAGGAAAGAAAGAATCCCAAGTAGGCCCCATGCCCAGCATGGAGCCCAACAAAGGGCTCTATCTCATAACCTGGAAATCATGACCTGAGCCAAAATCAAGAGATGAACGTTTAACCAACTGTGTCTCCCAGGCTTCCCCGTAGTGGGAAATTTTTAAACACTGCTCTTAGTAACTGACAAAACAAAACAGGAAAAACTAGAATGGGGATTTTTTTTTTTTTAAGATTTTGTTTATTTATTTGACAGAGAGACACAGCGAGAGAGGGGGAGTGGGAGAGGGAGAAATGGGCTTCCCGCCGAGCAGGGAGCCGGATGCAGGGCTCGATCCCAGGACTCTGGGATCATGAGTCCTGGGATCATGACCTGAGCAGAAGGCAGATGCTTAACGACTGAGCCACCCAGGCACCCAGGGATTTTATTTTAAATATCCTTTATATTCCCTAAAGAAACATGCCCATCTTGGCTATGTTTCTCTTAATGCTGCTGAAGCTCTTCTGCCACTACAGAGATTTAATGGTACTTGATATTATAAAATAAATGTCATTTTTAAGACCCCTTCTGCTGGGGGGGAAAAACCCTGCAAACTTTAGCACATTCTGTGAAACAGTAACTCTTTGCTTTAAGCTCTTTTACACATTCAAATATTATATTGTAATGCAAAAACACATTAGCATATGTTCATGGTTAACACTATTTTTAAAAAATAAAGATGAATTTCCTTACAAAAATGATACTATAAGAAGGTAATCATCTATGCTATGTTATGTTATGCTATTAGCGTTTCCTTAGAATGTGATTCTTATTTTTCTAGATATGTGATTCTGTAATCAATGAGTTAGACTAAGAAAATACATTACTTTTTAAATTATTTCTATGTTTCAAAGCAACTAACACTTTTCAGTGGCCTCAAAGTCTTGAAGTTTAAAATGTGTAAATATATATTAAAATAATGTTTTTCAAGCAAGGAACTTTTTTTAAAAAGCCCAAATAGGGGCGCCTGGGTGGCTCAGTGGGTTAAGCCTCTGCCTTTGGCTCAGGTCATGATCTCAGGGTCCTGGGATCGGGCTCTCTGCTCAGTGGTGAGCCTGCTTCCCCCTCTCTCTGCCTGCCTCTCTGCCTACTTGTGATCCCTCTCTCTCTCTGTCAAATAAATAAATAAAGTCTTAAAAAAAAAAAAGCCCAAATAACTACATCATTCGATTTACATAAAAATAAGGCATTTTCTTCCTTGCCTGTGAATCACTGCCTACTAATAAATGAGTTGTATAGTCTTTACTGCTCAACTATGATATCCCACACTCCTTATTTATTACTTCATTAACATTTACTTATCTCCACACTTTCCCTAACTTTTCCCTTCAGCCTGTACCATATACTTGTGTGTGTACAAGTACAATCAGTACTTTTCTTCTCAGTATCTCTCCTATCCTCCCAAGAAAACAATTCCTAATAGTTTTTGTTAGCCCTTTCAATGGGAATTGTCCATAGAAGAGTCTTCTCAGTTCAATGTTATAGAAAATATGAAAATACCAACCACTGGGAAGAACAGAATTTATACGGGAAGTTATTTTAACTATGTGACAATTTTGTAAAGCATCAGTAAAAAAAATTTCACTATGTAGCTGGAATCTTCCAATACTTTGCAAAAAATAGTAAGTTCTCAATCTAATATGTAAGAGTTCTTTGGTTTACCTAAGAATCAAAAACTAAGTGAACTTCTTAACAAGCTTTTCCCATAGAAAAGGCAGACTCATGGCTATCAAGAATCTTTAGAAACAGCCAGAATGAAATAACTTTAAAATCTAGCTAAACAAATACATAAATCTCAATAAGCTTTCAGAAGAAATAAAGACTATAATATTTTTAAACATTACCAGTTTTAACCGCTCTTTTCTCCTTTTGCCGAAGGAGGCACTTGACCCAGGTTCTGATTCCTTTTTTCCATCCTCATCCTCATCTTCATCTTCATCATCCTCAAAACACCAATCTGGCAACAGAGGTGGGGGTGGTGCTTCCTCTATATCACCATAGCGACGAAAAAGTTCTTTCAAATAATCACCTTTATAAATTCCTGGTGGTCTGGCTTGAGCAAAAGTAGCAACTGCTGCTTCAATACTATGGAAAACAAACACCATGGAATTTCCTCACTTTTCTTCATTTACGCAGATTTATCAAAACTCATTCTATTTCAGTCACCAAAGGAAGTACGGTAAAGGTTTACAAAATGGACAAATCATATTCCCCAGGCCCAAGGCATTCAATCTACTAAAGGACAAATCTGAAACAGCTTTAATACAAGGTACATGGATAATCCCTAAACCCTGGAGAGGTAAGCTGCAATGACTGTACAGGAGAGAGCTTGGTAAAGTCTGTGAAAAATGTATATAAAGGCTTTAAGGTTGAGATCGAACTCTAAGGGAAATCAAAGAAATGTGAACGCCAATATGAATAAAAGTAAAAGCATGCTAGCTTTTAAGAACTTTCAACAGATCTGATAAAAAGAACAAAGGTCATCAGAGAGAGGCTAAAGCACACACTGACAAGGAGTCTGGGGTTACTGTCAAAAGCACCTCAAAGGCCAGAAAGGCAGAGCTAGAAGAGCACGCAGCAGAGAACCAGAGGATGTGTGAACAGGGAAATATACAATATGTGTACTTCAACTGATTACATTCAGAGAAGGACCTACTGTGTTGAGGTTTTATAAACAAAAATAATGACCCTCAATCAGTAAACAAGAAAATCCAGGTAGTAATATCCCATTTGCCCAAGGAATCTGAGGCAACAAAGGTTCTAATCTCCCAGGATCTAAAAAGGTACTTCAATAAAGCCATGTTTACTTGATTGGTTCATACAGAGTAACTGTCCCCAAAACACCTTCTCCATATACCATTACAGGTTTTTCCTAATATTCAGCAGCTATAAAAAATAAAAGTATTATTAAAAATGAAAAGAACAAGGGGCATCTGGACGATTTAGTAATTAGAGCATGCAACTTGACCTCAGGGTCGTAAATTTGAGCCCCACGTTGGGCATGAGCTAGGTTCTTTAAAAAAGAAAAGAAAAAAAGAACAATAATAACAATAGTAACTTCCAAAGGTGAATATTAAAAAAAAGATTTTGAGTAAACTTGTTTCTGATAATTCTGGAAGATGTGAAAAAAATCTGGAAAGAAAATATATAGTATATAAATATCCACAAACATTCAACTAAAATGCTACTTAGGACAAAATACCAGGTAATAAATGATATTCTAAGACTAATCAAGTCTAAAATGAAAACCACTTTAAATATTATTAATCAGGACTTCACCAAAAATTTGACAATATAAAATGCTAAAACTAAAAAAAATCGGTAAAATTCTTTATCAATTACTAATCTTCCATTATAACAAGAAACAATACCTCCAATCCATTTTCTCCACCAAAAAGGCACATATGAGGAAACCAGTGCGATTGAAACCATGGGTACAATGAACACCTAGAAAATAAAGTAGCTTTGGTTTAAAACTAAAATATCACTTCAAAAGCCACATTTGACTTTAAAATTCCAACCTGTAAGCAAAACATTTTAATGACTTTATAAAATAACTACATTTTAAAAAACTTGGCCCTCTCTTACAGCTTAGTAACTCATCAGTTTAAGTTCTTAGAATCTAATTTGTCTCATTAGCAAGAAGTTTAGTATATACTGGTTACAAATCACCTCTAAAGTCTAAAGATTTCTCTTAAAACTAAAGGATTCTAAGTACTTTGAGGATGCCTGGATGGCTCAGTCAGTTAAGCATTTGCCCTCAGCTCAGGCTATGATCCCAAGGTCCTGGGATAGAGCCCCACATCGGGCTCCCTGCTTGCGGGGAATCTGCTTCTCCCTCTCCCTTTGTGCCCACTCTCTCACTCTCTCTCTCTCTCAAATGAAAAATAAATCTTCAAAGAAAAAAAAAAAAAAAGAATCCAAGCACTTTAAATAAGAAAGTGTTTTTATCAAGCACACATACACACAACACTTGACTGGGTCTAAAATAATTGACGGATATATAGTACCATAAAAATAAAACTACTTTGATGTTCTCTTAGAAACTGACAATGTCTTTACGTTATTTTATAACATTTAAAACAAACCTTCAGGGAGCAGCTGGATGGCTCAGTCAGTTGGACTGTTGGTTTCCGCTCAGGTCATAATCTCATGGTCCTGAGATCAAGCTCCACATCCAGCCTTGTGCTATGTGTGGAGGTTGCCTAAGACTTTCTTTCCTTCTCCCTCAGCCCCTCCTTGCTACTCTCTATCCCTTAAATAAATAACTCTTTAAAAAGGTAAAATAAACTTGCAGAAGAAAAACCTGAGAAAAAGAATTTTTTCTTAAACCTTTTTTCAGTACATATTCAAATGCAGTCCTACCTCTATATTCTGAAAAGCTGCAAATGAGCTTCATAAATTCCAAAAATGACTGCATTTTTAAATCATTTTAACTACTTTGAAGAAGTAATTAAAATAGTTTGGTTGACATTATTAACATGACATTATTTAAGTCACTCTCCTACAAACATCGAAAATGAAGCTTTTCCTATTATCTCTGTTTAATGTAAAGATATCTCGACATTTAAGACTATATCTTAACAAACTACTCTATTTTTTGTATATAAAGCATCCTAATAAAGAGCAACCAAAAATCAAATATATAAATAAACTCAAAGAATTACAAAACTTCTAGGAGACAATATGGAAGAAAATCTTTGCAACCTTAGTGTAGGAAAAGACTTCTCAGATAAAACATGAAATAAAAGGAAATATTGATAAATAGTGCTACTTCATAAAGGTAAATGTCTACTCTTTGAAAGATGTCATTGAGAAAATAAAAACACCAGGGGACACCTGGGTGGCTCAGTTGCTAAGTGTCCTGACTCTTAATTTTGGCTCAGAGCATGATCTCAGGGTCCTGAAATCGAGCCCCACATCGGACTGCATGCTAGGTGTGGAGCCTGGTTAAGAGTCTCTCTCTCCCTCTTCTCCTCCCCTAGCTCTCTCTTCCTCTAAAAAGAAAAAAAAAAGGAAAAAAAAATTGCCACAAAATATATTTTCATTACATATATCTAATAAAGAACTTCTATCCAGAATATATAAGTAAATCTTACAACTCAGTAATAAAACAAAAACCTAATATTTTTTTAAAACTGAGCAAAAGATTTCAAGACACTTTACAAAAGAATGTGTGTAAATGATCAAGAAGTACATGAAAAGACAGTCAATATCATTATCATTAAGATGAAAATGAAAATCACAATGCAATCCCCTACACAGCAATTAAAATAGTTAAAATCAAAAAGACTAACAATGTCATATGTAAGTGAGGATATAGAGGAATTGAAACCCTCATGCACTGCTGGTAGAAATATAAAATAACACAATCACTTTAGAAAACAGTTTGGCAATTTCTTAAAAAGTTAAACATACATCTACATCAAATGACCCAGACATTCTAATCCTAGTTATTTACTGAAGAAAAATAAAAATATATGTGCAAAGACATACATAAAGATTAATGTCCACAGCAACTTTATTTATAATGGCCAAAAAGTGCAGATACCCCAAATGTCAACCATCAGGTGAAGGGATAAATATGTAGTATATCCATTCCATAACTACTATTCAGCCATAAAAATGAATGAATTACAAATAAATACAATGAGGATGATTTTAAAACCTGTGTGAAAGCAGAAAACAAAAAAACAGAAAGTCCATATATACAAATTTCTTTTACATAAAGTCTATAATATGCAAAAATGTGTGTGGAAACATGAAAGACCCTGAATAGCCAAAGCAGTCTTAGGAAAAATAACAGAATTGGAGGCATCATACTTCCTGACTTCAAATTATACCACAAAACTGTAGTGAGTAAAAACAGTATGGTACTGGTATAAAGACAGACATATAGACTGATGGAATAGAACAGGGAACCTAGGATTAAACTCCTGCATATACAGTCAACTAATATTCAATAAGGGGACCCAGAACACTGAATGGGGAATGTCAGTCTCTTCAACAAAAGATGTTCATGCAGAACAATAAACCTGGACCCCATCTTACACTATTCACAAAAATTAACTCAAAACAGATCAAAGACTTAAACATAAGATCCAATGCCATAAAACTCCAGAAAAAAATATAGGGGAAAAACTACTCAACACTGATCTTGCCAATGATTTTTTGGATATGAAACCAAAAGCACAAACCACCAAAGCAAACATCAACAAATGAAACTACATCAAACTTAAAGCTTCTGCCCAAATAAATACATAAATAAAATGAAATGAAATGGCAATCTACAGAATGGGAAAGAAATTGTGCAAACCGTACATTATATCAGGGACTAATATCCAAAATATATAAGGAACTCATACAACTCAATAACAAAAAAAAAGCCAATTTAAAAATGGCCATAGGATCTCAAAAGACATTTTTCTAAAGACATCAAAATGGCCAATGGGTATATTAAAAGATACTTAAGATCACTAACCATCAGGGAAATATAAATCCAAACCACAATGAGATATCACATCACACCTGTTAAAATGGTTATCACCAAGGCAACAAGAGATAAGTACTGGCATGGATGTGATGAAAGGGGAACTCTCCTACACTGCTGGTGGGAATGTAAATTGGTTCAACCACTATGGAAAACATGGAGGTTCCTCAAAAAATTAAAAATACATCTACCATATGATCTAGAAATTCCACTATATGCACCCAAAGGAAATGAAAATAGAATATTGAGATATATGCACTTCCTTGTTTATTGCAGCATTACTGACAATAGCCAAGATATGGAAACAACCTAAGCACCCATCAATGGATGAAGGAATATGTAAGGGGGGGGGGGGGGGGCGGGTGCATGTAATGGAACTTTAGTCAGGAGAAAGAACATTCTGCCATTTACAACAACACAGATGAACCTTGACATATTATGCTAAATAAGGGAGATAAGTCAGACAGCGAAAGACAAGTACAGTATGATATTACTTATATGTGAAAATAAAAAAAGCCAGACTCATAAAGTCAGAAGAGTAAAACAGTAGTTACCAGGAAATGGGGGCGGGAAGGAGGTATAGGACAGAGTTATTTAAATGTAAACAAATTTAAATTAATTAACTAAAACAAATTTGCAATGAGTAGTAAGAGCTAGAGATTTAATGCACAGCATAGTGAATATAAACAACAGTATTGTATTATGCTCATCAAACCTGAGAAAACTTAATTATTCCAACCACTAAAAAAAAAATTATGTAACATGATAGAGGTGCTAATTATTGCTACAATGGCAACCATATTACAATGTATAAATATATCAAATTAACATGCTGTACACCTTAAATTTCCACAATGTCAGATGTCAAATATATTTCAATTAAAACAATTTCTAAAAAATCCAAATTAATCTATAGTGACAGAAGGTAGGAAGTGATTGCCTAATCTGTAACTAAGGGTTGAAGAGAGGCTGAACACAAAGGGGCATAAGATGCAAATGCTCTGAACCTTGGTTGTAGTTTCATGGGTATCTACATCATTAAATTGTACATTAAAAATGAATGCAGCTCAATAATGAAGACTGTTTTTAAATCCAGTTAATAAAGTGAGGGGCACCTGGGTGGTTCAGTCAGTTAAGCATCTGCCTTTGGCTCAGGTCATAAACTTGGGGTCCTGGGATGGAGCACCATGTCAGGCTCTCTGCTCAGTGGGAAGTCGCCTTCTACCTCTCCCTTTGCCTCTCTCCCTGCTCATGCTCTCTCTCATATAAATAAATAAAATAAATTCTTAAAAAAAAAATACAACCTAGAAGTTAAAGTGAGATGCTGATGTAAGTCTGCAATAGGCATTAAAAACATATTCCAAAACACTTGTTTTTAACTGAATTTATCAAAGATGTAACTTTGATACATTTTTATTTTTTGATACATTTCTAAAGGTATACAAATAAAAGTATCATTTTCATGTCATTTCTGTAACACGGTAAGATTTCTTTCCAAAAAAGGTTTTTGCTACTTAAAAAAAAAAATGTTGGCATGGTAATGAGTACAGTTGGTGATGAGGAGTTTAAGGTTCTTCTGAGACTTCAAAGTATTTGGGGGAAAAATAGCAAAGAGCTTCACAGAGAGGTGGAAAGCTGGCTAGAGCTGCAAATTAAAGAATAATCAACATATACTGAACTAGGAAAGAGGGCTGTGGTACAGATAAGATCACTAAGAATGGGTATGTAAAATTTAAGAGACAAAAATTATAATGAAATCTGAAGAAAACCAACCTTTCAAGAGTAAGTAAGGGAGGAAAACTTATTTATAAAAAAGACTAAGAATAAAAGCCATGGGGTCAAGAAAACAAAGAGAACATGGAGTCACATACAACAACAACAACAACAAAAGTTTCAAGACATGACTGTTCAACTGTTTAAATGTCACAATTGAAGTGAAAGTCACTATTTGTGTAAG